TCCTTCCAGATCCTCGGGGGTCAGGCAGGAACCTCGTTTTTTGGGGGGGGGGAGAAGAAGGAGAGAGGAATGGAAAGGGGTCCCTTTGCTCAGGTCGGTGGGGATCGGAGGAGGAGGAGGGGGGCGGCCTTTCCTGCCGAGGAGGGACCGAACCGCCTGCAAGGATCCTGGGTGTGTGTGTGTGTGATCGCTGCGGCTTCTTTCTTGTGTTTCCATTGCAAGATTCTGCGAGGCTCGGGGGGAGCAAGAATAGCTCTCTGGCCCTTTTAGCCTCCGAGTCAGAATCCTGGGGCCCTTTGGCTTGGGTGGGGAATGGGTGGGGGCTGTGCCTCAGGCAGCCAAAAGTCTTGGGTCGGCCTCTTTTGTGTCCCTCCTGCTGCTTGACTCTCACCCTAACCCCTCCGGTCCACCGTCAGTCCCTTGATTTCTCTCAACCCTTAAAACCTTCATGCTTGGCAGATGTCCCTGTTTTATAATTAAGAATCCATATAGGTTTTTTTCACTTCCGACATAAGGGAATAGTGGAGTTAAGTTTCTCTACTAGGCTGTAGAAAGGGGCCAAGGCCGTTGGTGGTTTTAAGAGGGAGTGAGGCAGATTGATAGAGGGTCCGGGGATCAGCAGGGAAGAGTGTGGGGTAGTGGATGGGGTTCACGCTGGAAACCCCTTCCAGGTTGGCAGGGGTAAACCAGGTCTTGAACTTCCCACAAGGGGCTGGGTGGCACCTCACCAGAGAGATTGGATCGAGGGCTGCAAGGCATCCTGAGGAGATCTTGCTTTAAGTCTCAGGAGACATGCTTATGAATGGCCAGCCAGAGGAGGAGATGAGTAGCAGAAATGGCCCCATGGCCTGATTTTGGCAATGTGTAGCTTGTGGTGAGCAGCCGGGGAAACGGAAGGTCGAGTTTGAGAGGCCTTTGATGGAAATCCAGGATGCTGCTGCTGATGTTCCTCAAATGACTGAAAGAAGCTAAGGCGGGGGTGAGCCTTTGATCTTGGGCAACATCAGCAAGAATCGGCTCTATTTTCAAATTGCTAATAAAAGTAATATGGCATTGAGAGGTTGCAAGGAATTTTATCTTCCCTCTCATTGGTCCCCTGTCTTATTTTGGTGTTGTGTTTATTTTTCTTTCATGAGAACAGGTGGGTTACCTTGAAATATGTTGTTGCGAAGCTTTGGCGCTTTCCTGCCTCACTCGCAAAGAGGCTGCTGAGGTGAGTCGCTTGTGCTGGTTGAACCTGAAGGAGAAAATAAATCGCAGAGCTGAGGCGTCCGTCCGACATTGCTGCTGAAACGGAGAGAGGGGAAGGATCCGTCCCTGTCAAGAGGAAATGGATGTGAGGCAAGAGGCAGGAGCTGCTGGGTTTTTGGAGCCAGAAATAAAAATGGAGGAGGAGGAGGAGGATTCAGGAGGTCCTGAAGAAGGAGAGGTCAAAAAAGGAGCAGCTCTCCTCAAAAGCGCTGGGAGGAGCTGGGTGGACGCTGGTCACAAAGTGAAACAGGAACCGGAGGAAGAGATGTCCGGGAATTGGGATGCTCGCTTGCAAGAGTTTCTGCAGAGGCTCCAGACTCCTCCTTCGGTCGGGGCAACCCCACAGCAGCCGGAGGAGAAGAAGCCGCGCCATGACCCTCAAAGGTCCCCGGGGCCCTCCCAGGGAGGGAGCGATGCCAACAAGGGGCCCGAAGGATTGTGGGGCTCCCCAGAGCGTCTCCTTGGGGAGATTGGACTGGACCCCAGCACCCCTCTGGCTCCCCCGCCGGTTGGGAAGGAAGAGGAAAGAGCTCCAGCGGGCAGTCCCGCCAAGGCCGAGAGGCAGCGCCAGCGTTTCCGCCGGTTGCGCTACGAAGAGGCCAGTGGGCCTCGCGAAGTGTGCCGGCAGCTGCAGGAATGTTGCCGCGAATGGCTGGAGCCTGAGAATCACACCAAGGAGCAGATCCTGGAGCGGGTGTCCCTGGAGCAGTTCTTGGCCATCCTGCCCCGGGAGATGCAGAGCTGGGTCAAGGAGAGAGGGGCCGAGACCTGCGCCCGGGCCGTGAGTCTGGCCGAGGATTTCCTTCTGAGACATCCAGAGGCTGAAATCAGGGAACGGCAGGTGGGTACCTTTCCAGTGGGCTTGCAAATGAAGTCCAGTAACATCTGGCATGAAGGTCTTGGAAGCACTGGTCTAGGGGAATGGTTTTCTTTAGGGTTGAAGGAGTGGGGATTTAAACCCTAGATGTGCCCTACCCTAGTTATGTGGCACAGTAGTTAAACTGCAGTACTGCAACTAAAACTCTGCTCACAACCCAGGTTCGATCTCACGTTGCTGGCTGAAGGTTCACTCAGCCTTTCTAAGGTTGGTAAAATGAACACCCAGCTTGCTGGGAGTGGGAGACAATATATAAACTGAATATTTAAACTGTAAACCACTCAGGGAGTGCTTTAGGTGCTATGGGGCAGTATATAACCAGGACACTTTGCTTTAGTCAGTGGGATGGTTGTCCTTTTTTAGAAGGGGTTGTTGATTACATGCTTTGTGACTCGATGGTCAGAGAGGTCCCATCTCTATTGAACAGAGTTGTGTTATTTTCCTGCCTGGGGAATTCTGGAAGAGGTAGTCCAAAACGTAGCAAGACAGGGACAAGATCTCTCTCTCTCTCTCTCTCTCTCTCTCTCTGCCTGAAGCCCTGGAGAGTTGGCGCCACTTACGGTGAACAGCTTAGGGCTAGATGGATAGATAATCTCACCTGATGGAAAACAGGCTGCGCTTCTAGTGTTTGGGAAGCCACTCCGATGTTCTCTCTTCTGACAAAAGGGCAGACAAGCCCATGACATGAGCTTCCGAGCAACTTTGCCACCTCCCCTCCCAACACTCTTTGCCTCCTTCCTGACCTCCCTTTGACCTGACTCACTCGCCCTTGTGTTCTTCCCTCCAGCTCACAGGGTCGTCTGAAGAGCACCTTGCCAGTTCCCCCGAGGCAAGGGAGGCCGTGCCAGGCCAAGGAAAGCTGCGGCTTCCCACAGAGAGCGAACACGGGTGTAAAGGGAACGGAGCCCTGTTGGGTAAGGCGCTCTGGGTCCTGTTCCACTGAATTCTCCTAGACGTTCCGTCATAACAATCCCTCCCACCTTTTCTCTCTCATTCTTGCTGGTCATTCTCTTCTGCCATCCTTTGCTCCATCGTCCTTTTTCCTCTACTCGCTCTTCTGCCTCCTCTTACCAGCTAGCATTTCTTGTTTTCTTTCCCAGTCTCTGAACTGTCAAGATTTGGGACTGCAAAGCATCACGTGGAGCGGCCTAGAGGCTCTGAGGATAAATGGATCTCTCAGCCTGCTTCCGTCGTGTCTCATCTTCCTAGGGAAGGTCTGACATGTAGTGACTGAAGATACTGATGCAGGCTATGGATCATAGAATAATGGAATTGGGGTTGATAAGGCCATCAAGTCCCCTGCTCAATGCAGAAATACAGATTAAAGGATATCTACCAGATAAATGTCTAAATTTTTCTAGACTGCTTCCAGTGTTGGAGCGCTCACCACCTCCCAAGTTAATTGGTTCCATTGTCATACTGCTCTAACAGTTACAGAGTTTTTCCTGGTATTCAACTGAAATTTGGCGGCCATTTTTCCCCGGTGGCCATTTTTGAACCGCCGATCAGCTGTTGGAAAAAAATCCCTATGTGAAAATCGGTAAGCAAAACAGCTTACCGATCATCGCAAAGAAATTTTTTACCATTCAAAACATCGTTATGCGATCGCTTTTGCGATTGCAAAAACCTAATCGCTATGCGATTTTGTCGTTAAACGGGGTGCTCGTTAAGCGAAGCGCCACTGTATTTGAAAAGTACTATCATATGTCTCCTCAGTCTTCATTTCTCATGGCTAAATAGGCTCAAACTACATGATGCCTGTTGATATGGATTATCTCTCTTTTTTCTTTCCTCCAGCACGTGACGGGTGGCTCAGCGAGAGCAAGGAAACACAACCCTTGGTGTGCAGTCCTGAGCAGAGGGATCGACTCACCACCTCCATGAAAACAGGCCAAGAGAGTGGTTCCATGTGTCAGGGAGGAGCTGAGGATAACCAGCATTCAGCAGAGCGACCAAATGGAGCAACCCGAGTGGATCCGTTGCTTCAGCCACAAGGTGCCTGTGAAGGAATCACAAGGCTGGCTACCCAGGAACAGGAGAATGAGGTTGGGTATGATGACTGTGGGGAAGAACCTCCCCTTAGTGTGCCCGAGGATCCTGAAACGGAGGAGAAGCCATTCAGGTGCTGGCACTGTGACCAGAGTTTCAACAGCAGCGTAAAGCTTGTGACCCACGAGAGAAGCCACGTGGGCGAAAAACTGTATACCTGCTCCTGTTGTGGAGAAAGTGAGAGAACGCATACGGGCCAGAAGCCCCATAAATGTTCACACTGTGGGAGTACCTTTGGCTGGAACCCACAGGAGAGAATCCAGGGAGGAGAGAAACCTTATACCTGCTCTGAATGTGGGAAGAGCAGCAGCCAGAGATCCGACCTGAAACACCAGAGGACGCACACGGGTGAGAAACCTTATAAATGCTCTGTGTGCGGGAAGAATTTTAGGAACGGCTCAGATCTGAAAGTACACCAGAGGATCCATACAGGTGAAAAACCGTATAAATGCTTGGACTGTGGGAAGTGTTTCAGCAGGAGTTCCCACTTCACATCCCCTATGAGACAATCCACGCAGCAGCTTCAGCCAAAAGTCCGAATTTACTGTCACCTATCCTTTATTAGGGCATCTGATTTTATTACTTACATTCAGACTTAACATTTACATCTCTCTTGAAATTCAGTTTGCTAATTTTGGCTCAGGTTTCCATCTTGTACTAAAGATCGTGTTGCGTGAAGTTTCTGTCTTACATGCCAGATATGGTTAGAAAGCAAATTGGGATACTACTGTTAGATCTCTGGCTGGTTTGATGCGGATTAAAAAGGATCCTCTGCTTCCAGTTGTCTAATAATTGCTTAAAAATTGTTCTTGTTCTCTCCCAAATTAGTTTGGGCTACCCATTCTGATGTAGTGGGTAGAGTGATGGACTAGGACTCTTAAGAGACCAGTATTTGATTGTTTTAAGTTGGTTCAAACTTGACAGCATGTATGCATGTGTAGAAATCATATATTGTTAATTATAGAGTGTTTATAATTCATTCTTTTCCCTTATAGCTATGGCAGAATGATGTTACTGTACAATTGTAATCTAACAAGAAACAAGCTCCTTTTGCAGTATAACAGAAATAAGGCTTTAGTTGCTCATTACAAGGTTAACGTAATGAGTAAGTAAGTGGAGGAGGAAGAGGAGGAGTATCATTTCGTGGCCTGTTGCTTCTGCGGTGTCTCATCCTGCACTGCCTTGTGTTCCCTTGATCTGTAGGTGAACACAAGAGGGAGCAACAAGACCCCGAGGAGAGTGCTGAGAGACCAAAGGAGATCAAGAGAGAACCTGAAGATGAAGCTTCTCAGGCTGAGGAACCAAGGAAGAAACAGAAACTCATGATGGAGACGAGAAGTGAGCAGCCCATTTCCTTTCTAGCATCTGCTAAGTTCTTCTTCCTCTCAAACACCCATTCCTTCCTCCTACACTGCACCTCTGGCATGACTCAGAGGCATCACATTGCTTTGGAGACATGGATGGGAACATGACCAGCAATGAAGACCCAGGGCCAAAGGAGGCTACTACCTAGGGAATGGGACTGTCTGGACTACAGATACCATAATTCTCCATTCTGGGAAATCTACCCACCTTCAAGGCAGTTTACAAGCACCTCAGTGTGACTCGCCTGGAAGAAAACTGGAAGACTTTGAGAGCTAGCTAGGCCTAGCTCTGCCTAAGCTTCCTGTTCCTGCCCCAGTGCTTGCTGGGAGCTTTCTTTCTGAGCAGGAAGCTTGGGCAGAGCCAGGCCTAGCTAAGGCCAAAGCCTTCCAATGTAGGCCTTTCTTGCAGCTGCATTGCATTCAGGTCTTTGCAAGATGCCTCTAGTGTAAACAAAACTGCCAGAATTAGTATCTATAGTCAAGGAAATCTGAAAATCCCATCCCTATTACTAGCCAACATGGCTGGCGGGATTTTAAACACCAGCTGTAGAAGTGCCTGAAAGGCTTTTGCAAGTAAGAATGGCAAGTAAAAGAAGTTTAGCATTGTGATTAGAGTTAGGAGAAGGCTTTACAGGACTTCATGCATTTCATAACCCCAGTGAGAATTCATTCATTCATTCATTCATTCATTCATTCATTCATTCATTCATTCATTCATTCATTCATTCATTCAATGAGAAAAGCTGTGTGGCCTTTGTATATGATACAAAAACAAAGGGAGCAAGGGTACATGCTAGCTTTCACTCTATACCAGTCTTCATCAGGCTGGGCACCTCTGAGCCATAGGTGGTGCAGGAAAAACATCAGAAGTCGAGACGTTCTAGCTGGGTGCCCATGTGTCAAGTCTCTTCAATAAAAGTAGTAAGTTTCAAAATGGAGCTGCAAGCATTGATGAGGAGTGTTACCTCTGCTGGTATTGAATGGAATGCCCTTCCCAAACCCTTTAAGTAGAGGGCATCTATCTGGAACACCTCCCCAACCCGTTATTACCAATAGTAGTAGTAATGGTAGTACTCTGACTTTCTCTTCAAGAGAAACCAAGGTGGCTTGCAATATTAAAACTAACAAGTTAGAGCTTTAAAAAATACAATGAGGAGAAAGGTCTTTGCCTGCCAACAGAAGGACAGTGAAAAGGGGGCCAGCTTCTCCTCTAGTGGGAGGGAGTTCCACAGCCTAGGAGAGTTCCAGTGTCCTTCCATCTACACAGTTGATGACAAACAGAGAATATCATCTATGTAGACAGGTAGTCTCGCTTCTAAGCATTGTGTTCAGCAAAAAAAAAAGCATGGGTTATTTTTTTAAAAAAAATTATCCTATGAGTCTCCCTTTTGCTTCCTGGGAGAAGAGCCAGCCTGTGTGGCCTTGGGTGAGCTGCATCGTTTTAGGGTACTCCTAGACCAGGGCAATACTAAACCACCTCTGAGTATTCTCTATCCAGAAAATCCTGAAAAAAAGGGGTTGCCCTAAGATGGGATCGACTTGATGGCACGCAATTATTGGTTTATTGTTGCAGCTGTTGATCCATTGGCTGGGATACAAAAAATACCCTTATATCCAAAAGCAGCACACGGTTTGGGACGTATTTATTTTTCTTGACTAGTTTTTAGGAGAAGGAAATGGGCCTTTTACAGGACAGGGTACACATGGAGGTGTGATAGGCAGCCCTTCAGGGAACCCCGTCGTCATGACTAAAGAGGGGCACGACTAAAGGCACACAAAACGTACCGTGGAGC